AGGCCATTTCTAGAATTATGCAGCTATAGGAGCCCACAAAGCCAAAACAAAGGTTTGTAGGTTATAGAGTAGGAAGGAAACTTGGAAACTGTGCTGTCTACCTCTACATACCCATTTTACAAAGGGAAGAAACTGAGAACCAGCAAGAGAGGAAGCAACCTGCCTAAGGTCCATTCCTCTAGTCCATCCCCCACAGTCTTTTCTCCAGTATCATTGATAAATAGGCAGTCCATTCCATTTTGGGAACAGGGTAATTGTAAGAACTCTTAGGTATAACTTCCCCTTTGCCTTCTTTTATGATGGAGCCCACCGAAATAAACATCTTTGGATATCTACCCGTTACTCCTAGCTTCATCCTGGGAGGTGTGGTGGGGACAGCAGAATAAGGCTGATTTTTTAGTTCAGTTTAGCATAGGTTAGTCAGGCTTTCTGGAGTGTGTCGAGTTGGGGTAGGGACTCCGGTTTCAGTATTGTGATGGTAATACAGGATGACCCACTGCCTCTGCTTTGGGGTAACAGAAAAGAGATGAAATGGAGAGGGGAGTGAATGAGGACAATTTCTAGACGGGAGAAGGTAGGGTGTGGGCAGGGGGTGCTGCTATGAACTTTAGAGGTTGAGAGGTGATGTTTCAATAGAACTGGTCCTATCTTGAGGATCAATAAATTTATGTTGAATCCCCTACTATGCCACTTAATAGCTGGGTGACCTTGAATAAATTAGTTAATCCCTCTAAATCTCTGCTTCCCCATTTGTAAAATGTTAAAAAAAAATACTTTCATTACCTACCCCCAAGGCTGTTATGAGGAAAATATGTTACTGTAAAGTGCTATCAAAATTCAGTAAATATTTATTAAGTGCTATGCTATGGGAGGGCCCTCTCTTAATTGCTTTCAAGGAGAAAGATACCTCTTCCCAGCTGCCTTCAAGAGGCTCACAGTCTGGTAGGGAAGATAAGAAATAAACTCAAATATTTATGGCTTCAGTTTCTCTCTTAGCAAAAGAGGGCTGATATAACTTTGACACTATCTCAACACTGTTTTAAAGTAAACATTTTATATGAGGGTTTACATTTGAAGGCATCTCTGGAGAACCAGAATAGTTAGGCTCCTATCCCAGTTGACACACTAGTGGAGTGACCCTCCTCGAGTCTCTTAATAACCTCCTGTATACTTATCTGTAAAATGAAGGTATAGAGACACATATACTACCAGATTTGCAAAATTGTCTCAAAAAAAATCTGTGGATCCCAAAAGTGTTAGATAAACTTGAACTGTTATTGGGTATTGTTATGAAATTGTATAGATTTTTGTACTGTTGCATTATTTCATATGCATTATTTCAAATTGTATGGCTAGGTCAGTCTTTGCTGAAAAAATTCCCAGAAACCAATATTCCACATTGTTAATGCAGTAGTGACTACAAGAACTCTCGGTGAGCTGTCTCCCTAGTCTTACACCTTCACTGTACTAGTTAGGTTCTGTCACTAGGAGTTTGAGCTGGTGCGGTCCAATCACAAGCAGTCCAACCTTGGTGAAGAATATCTCAGACCCACTAGGGAAGTGGAGGCCCTGCAGTCAATATCTTGATTGATGATAACAGCTCCATCTCTTGGGGAGAGCCTTTTAGTTTACAAAGTGCTTCCTTCGGTACAACCCTGGGAGACTAGGGCGGGTAAGGATCATAATTCCCATTTTATACAGAAGGTATCTCTCTCCCAGAGAGGGAAGGGAAGTGACTTGCTCACAGTCACACAATAAGTTAGTGCAAGAACTGGTACTGGAACCCAGGTTTTATTCACAATCTGGTTTTCGTTTTACTGTGCCACCTTTCTCGGGAAACGGAAGAGAGAAGCAGGCTCCGCTTTTGTGGAACGACCTAGTTTGATTGCTTACTCCTTATCTTTTTTCCTCGTGGACTTTATTTTCTTAAATGTAGAAATTCTCTTTTCATTTCCTTCCCTCCATCCTTCCCCCTCCCACCTACATTCCTTGTTTATTTTTTTTTCCTCTTCTCCTCTTCTTCCTTCTCCTTTTTCTTGCCTCAGGAATTTTGGGACCACTCAGAAATTCCTTTTGCTCGTTTAAAATTATCGCCAACCAGGCTTAACCTTCATCCCGACCTTTTAATGTAGTCTTTTGATGGGGGAGGGGTAGGCTCACACAAGGGGGAAAACTCTGGGCCTTGGAAAACACTGCTTATAGGTCTCCGACAACGACACTCTTGCAGTTTTCTTTTCGGAAAACGCACGCCAGGTAACCTAAAGCCAGTCCGAGTCTCACCCTTCCCTCAGCTTCCCTCCCTTCCTTGCATCTGCTGTATTCCGCCTGAAGCAGCTCCCCTCAGTGCCTCCAAATCCCGCGAAAAAGGATCTGGGATGGGGGTGGGGAATGGCCTTGTGAAGAGCTCGCCCCTCTTCTGCCGCCCAGGCAGCGACGAAGGACAGAGATTTTTGGCAGACGGAAATCCGGAGCAGCCCCGAGACCCACTGAGAAAACACCATCGGATCTCAGCGCAGCCTGTAGCTTTCTAGGAAGTCTTGGCTGACTGGGCGGCGAGCTGTGAGCTGTTGGATTGGGGGAGGGGCACCAGACAGGTGTGTGTGTGTGTGTGTGTGTGTGTGTGTGTGTGTGTGTATGTGTGTGTGTGTTGTTTGGGGAAGTCGTGGTCCTCCAGCAACCGTTCTTAAACAATAAATGCGTGTATGTATCGCTAACTCATTCCCCACTTAAAGACTAGTTTCTACTTCAGGGTCAGGTATAAAAGGTGCTTGGACTGCCGTTCCCAATGGGGAACGCAAGACTTGTAGATTTATTGGGATAATTAAAACCCAGATTTTCTCATCTTCCAGATTATTCATTTAAGAGCTATCCCCCCCCCCCCCCCCCCCCCCCCCCCCCCCCCCCCGCCCCGGCCCTGCATTTGCTGCCTGATTGCTTCCTATCTCCCCACCCCAGATTCCCGGTTAGTACCCGGGATCATTCTCTGGCCTTGGGTTGAGGCGCCATTCTTGTCCTCTTTGGTAGTTTCGGGTCCCTTGTCCATAACCCAGCCTTTCTCTACCCGGTGCTGGCCTGGGCAGGGTAGCTCAGTCACTTTCCGCTGAGGCCAGAGAGCCCCAGGGGGTGGGAGGGGCAGCCTTATTTTGCTTCCAGGCTCCATCTCTTCCCCAAAGCCTTTTCTTTTCCTCGCTGTCTGCCCAAAGTCTCTCCACCGCCTAAAGAACCTCTGGTTTTGTCCCTGTGCAAGCAGGCCACTTCAGCCCACATCAGTTACCTCTCACGGCTGTTTCTCTCTCCCTTCCCTCTGTCCGCTTAGCTCCTCCCAGCCCACACTCTTGCCCAAGCGTGACTCTAGCGCCTCCCCTCACCCCAGGCCCCTGTTTCCTCTGGGCGCCCTACTCTAGCTCTCTCCAGGTCCTCCTCTCCTCCTTAGTCCAGCCCTCTCTCCCCTCACCTGGTTCCCTCTGGCGTCTCCCTGTCTGGGGCTCTGTCTACCCATGGTTTTTCCTCTTTCCGCAACCCCTCCCCGCAGCTGACTCTACCTAGTCAACACTACAGCTCCTTCTCATTCTTAACTCCCTCCCCTCTTTTTAACCTTGCTTTCTTCTCTTACTTTCCCGTCTTTACTTTCTCTGTTCTTTTCTCCATCCTCTTTTCCCCCTCCCCTTGCCTTTCCTGCTAGGCTCTCCTCTCTTCGCCTCCATTTCTTGGGTCAACCAATATTTGCTCTGGAAAAGATATTGAATGCTGTTTAGACGAACTCCCTGTGTTTTACCGAAGAAGAAATTGAGTCTCAGAGAGGTTCAGTGACTTGTCTAAGGCCATACAGGTAGCATCGTCAAGATTTGAAACCAAAATATTTCCTCTTTCTCTTCCTCTTCTTCACTTCCTGTCTTCCTCTCCCCCCCCTTCACTCTAACCTCCTCTTCTCCTCAATTCCCTTTCCTCTTCTCTTGTATACCAGGCCAAACTAATCTTCCTGCCCATTTTAAATTATCCTGCTATCCTCAAAATTCCCAAATTGAACATCCTCAATTATTTGCTAGATAAAGTTCAAGTTCTAAAACCTAGCATTCAAGGCCCTCCACGATCAGGACCAACCGACCTATCCAGCCTTCTCTCTGGCAGCTCCCCTTTGTACATTCTATATGCCAGCCAAATTAGATTCAATTCAGTTTAATTCAGCAAAAATTTATTAGGCGACTCCGAGGGACTTGGTATTGGGGGAAGGAATAGAAGGTTTAGAGAAGATCCCGGTCGTTAGGAGATCAGGAGAATAAAATGCAAACAGAGATAATGAGAAGTAGGTCCGAGAGACAGAAGCAAAGCGTTCTGTGAGGTGGGGAGGAGGCATCTCTTTAGAATGGGGAGATTAGAGAAGACCTGGAGGAGAAGATAATTTGTATGTAAGCATGGCTTTAAAGAAGGCATACAAATTGAAGAAGTAAACTGTGGACGGTGAGGTGTTTCAGGCCTAGGTGAGCAGAGCCAACGAAGCGGGCAAAATGTGTGTGATGTGTGTGTGTGTGTTTGTGTGCGTGTGTGTGTACAGGGGAAGGAGTTGATGAGAGGAAGTTCTCTTTTCCTTCTGCTGAGCACCTCTTTTCTTTTTCCTTCCAAATCCTTTCTTTCTTTTCCTTTTTCTTGTCCCTTCTTTCTTCTCTCCCATTTCTTCTCCCTTTCCCCTCCTCCCTGGTTCGTTTTCCTCCTCCCTCTTCTGTCCCCTTTCCTCTCTTTCCCGTTCAGCTTCTCTCTTCCCTTCTTTTCTCCTGCCTTCCCTCTTCCCTCCGGCTCCTCCCAGACTCCACCCCCCGTCCCTAGTTTGGCCAATCCACGGCCGAATCTCCGCTCAGCTGCAAGGCTCAAGCAGAGGCTCGGGCTCCGCCCACGGCTGTGGTTGCGGCTTGCGCTGAGCCCGGGGGGCTGCGGGGGTTCTTCGGCTGAGGCCCGGGCCTGGGGCTCCGGGCACAGGGTGGACACTAAGCCTTGGCTGTAGCGCCATGAGCCGAGCGGAGCAGGTGGGCGACCGCCTCTCAGGCCCTCGCCCACAGCCCCAGCCTCAGCCTGGGCGGTCGATGGGCCCCCGCACCTTCACTATCGACAGCATCCTTCGCCCGGATCTGCGGGGGACGCCGCGGCCTGGATACTGCGGGGGGCCGCGGGGACCTAGCCCAGCCCTCGAGCCTCAGCAGTACGAGGACCCAGAGGAGGAGGAGGAAGAGGTGGCCGTGGAGGTCGGGAGGCGCGATCTTGGCTCGGGTAGGCAGCTGCTCCTCCTCCCTCTTCTGTACCCTCCTCCCATCCCCAATCCCCAGCTTTCTATCCCCACGGTTTCTCTTCTCATATCCCACGTGAGGGGCAACTCTGAGGGCTGGGGAGAACTCTTGGCTAGAATTCCATAGACCTGGGTTCTATCTAGTCCAGTTTTACACTCACAGTGTGGTCTTGTTCCAGACTGTCCCCTCTCTGAGCCTCAGTTTCTTTCTCTGTCAAATGAATAGGTTGGACTCGTGGTCTATAAGAACCCTTTAGAACTTGAAAGTCTATCAATCTGAGATTTCTTTCGCGTTCCTCCGTCCATCCTTTTCTGAATCCCCAAACCTGGTCCGAGTGCCTCTGGATAGTTCCATACCCATTCGACTCCTCTTCCATATTTCCCTTTCTTTCCTTCTTTCCCTCAATTTAATCAGCCCCGACTCCGCGTGTGTGTATGTGTGTGTTGGCGGGGGGAGTGGGTGGGTAGTGATATTTCTCTACTTCCACTCCCTTCCCTGGGCCCGGGGGGAGGGGGCTAGATTAGGCCCTATTCCAGTGTATCCAGACCCAGATGTAGTGGAGGAGGCTGCAGACTTCTGGAGGGGAGGAGGGAGGTCTTGGAGGAGGAAGGAGCAGCAGGAGAAAAAGGAAGTGATGGAGAAGGAGGAAGAAAAGGAGGAAGAGGGAAGCGGGATGAGGAGGAAAAGGAGGGAGAGGAAAAGGAACATCAGAAGGGAGGGGGAAATACGAAAGAAGAGGAAGAGGATGGTAAGGAAATAGAGAGATGACTCCATCAGAGGACGAAGAGAGGGGAGAATAGGGAAAAGAAGAAAAGGAGAGTGATAACTGAATGATGTTCAGAGGAAGGGGAGGGGGTGGAGGCAAAGGGAGGAAGGAAGCTCAGTCCGCTGCCGCTTAGCATCAGGAAGATCTCACAACCCGAGTTGTTCCATCCGGCAGGAAAGGCAGAGAGCAGAAGCCCGAGCCGGAGCCGGAGCCGGAGCCGCAGTGGGAACCCAACCAGAAACAGGAGCACGAGCCGGACTCGCGGCTGGGACCCCGGCCAGTGTAGAGAGGCAGGTGGAGGCCTCCAGGGGGCCTCGGGGCCTAGGGAGCTGCCCTGCCCTAGAGGCAGCAGCCCGGACACCACAGATCGCAGCGAGTGCCGAGCTGGACCATCTTCTGGGCCGCAGTCCAACAAAAAGAAGACTAGGACCATCTTCTCCAAGAGCCAAGTGTTCCAGCTGGAGGCCACATTCGACGTGAAGCGCTACCTGAGCAGCGCCGAGCGGGCGGGCCTGGCCGCCTCCCTGCAACTTACCGAGACGCAGGTGAAGATCTGGTTTCAAAACCGCAGGAACAAACTCAAGAGACAGTTGGCTGCCGAGCCCGATGGGCCAGTGGGGACCCAGGCGTCCGAGCAGGCCTCGGAGCTGCCGGCCCTTTATAAGGACTCGGCCTTCCTCAGTCGCTGCTTGCTGCCGCTGTCGCTTCCCCTCCTGTGCCCCGGGCACAGCTTCCCCTACCTCTGCCTCCCCCGGCCAGGCAAATACTTCAGTCTGCTTGACGGAGACGTATAATAGCCTCTTTTTTTTTTTCCTTCCCTCATTCTCTCGACGTTCTATCCCCTCACATACAAATTCTTCCATTTTTTTTTTCCTCTCAGGCTTTTTGTTGTCTCCTTTTCTTCTCTATCTTTCTTTCTCTTTTCATCATCTCCTTCTCTTTTTATCTTTTCTGCATCTTTTCAGTTCTCTCCCTCCCTCCATCTCTCCCTTCTTCTCTATCCTCCATACTCTCCTTTATTTCTTTTTAACTCTCACCAAATCTTAAATCCCAGAATTTCCCAACTCCCTTATTTTTTGCATCCTTTAATTTATCTTCCCTGAAAGTATTCCCTGTTCCTCCTCCTCCTTCTGTTTGTTTGTTTCTTCAGTTTCAAACCCTAATTACCAAATATTTCTATGCAAACCTCTTGCTTTTCTGAGGGATTCATTTTCCTTCATCTGCCCCACTGTCTCTCCTCATGCCCTCTCCTTTCAGATCCAGTTATAATGGGAATCTTTGTTCCAAGACTAGCTTTTTCGGCCCAAGCAGGCGTAGGGGGCAGAGGGCAGGTCGTGGCTTGTGCCTCTTTCAGTGGCGAAGTGTCCAAACCGAACTTCTCTAGATCTGGGGCGGCTTATTAGCCTCGCTACGGGAGGGTGAAGCTCAGTTCCGTGACCTCAGGATGGGTCTGGGTCCTTCTCTGGGCGCCCTGACATTGGTGGATTTGATCCCATTTCTTGGACTAGATGCCAGCAGTCCCTACCCTCTTCCCCACTTCCCGGGAACACGAGGGATTCGGGACACCGGACAGTGTTGGTGAGATGGGGCTCAGCAACGTCTTCGGCGCTTCCTAGCGGGCGGTCACTGTGCAAGAAACCACGAATTATCCTCCGCTACGCCACCCCCAACCCCGCCACCCAATGCTGCCTGACCCTGCAGCACCGACCTTCCCTCTGTTACATCTTTGCCCTTCCAAACCCCCACCCCATCCTGCTTCTCTTATTTTCATTTCAAAACAAAACAAAACAAAAATCCAACTCAATCTTGTCTGCTCTCCTCGCATTTCTATTAACCGCCAGCCTCCCCCATCGATGATGGGAGATTAGCAGTTTTAGAAGGAAAAGGGGCTTTCGATCTTCTGCTTCTAGTTCTCCAAATCCACTTCTGACCACGTATTATCCCTTTGAAGGGCCTCACAGTCCACATCCCACCCCCACGGACCCATACATACACATGACACATTTTCTGAAGGTTGATAGGATGTAGAAGGGGGAAGAATTTGTGTGCCAATGGTTTGGAGAAGTCAAGTGCAAAGTGGGAAGGGAGCTAGTGTAAAATTAGGAGAATTGAATTCAAAGCTCACTCTATCCTTAGTTCCCTAAATGACCTTGAAAAAGTTCAATCTGTCTGAGCCTCAGTTTCTTCATCTGAAAGATGATGAGTTGAACTGGATGATCTCTGAAATTCTTTTTCAGTACTTCACTAGTTATTTTCTATGCCTGGGATCCCTTCCTACTCGGATGTTCTATTATCCTAGGCCACTTTAACTACCAAAGGGCTTACCCTGCTGGAAGCTATGAAGCTTGGGCAAGTTATTGCGCCTCAGGGAGAAGATAAACAAATCATAGATTCTCTGACCTGAGATCTCCAGAGCCTGTTGGAAGGCCCAATTGAGCTGACTAGTCAGTTGTTGTTAGTGACTACAATAAGGCA